ATCCAGTGCTAGGGGTGAAACTGTCCCAGGGGAGAATTTGGGTGGAATAGGGATGGCAGCCTGCTGCTTTCCCTGAGGAGACTGGGAGGTGAATAATCAATATGTAACTTGCAGGGCCTGAAGGGGCTGCAGCAAAGATGGACACAGACAATTGCCAAGGGCTGCAGGGACAGCAGCCGGGCAATGGCTGCCAGTGCCAGAGGGCAGGGCTGGCTGGGATCTTGGCAATGAGGAATTGTTCCCTGGCAGGGTGGGCAGGCCCTGGCACAGGGTGCCCAGAGCAGCTGGGGCTGCCCCTGCATCCCTGGCACTGCCCAAGGCCAGGCTGGACACTGGGACACTGCGAGGTGTCCCTGACATGGTGGCACTGGATGGGCTTTGGGGTCCCTTCCCACCCAAACCAGTCTGTGATTATGTGAATGTAGAGGTGGTCAAACCAAGCAACCAAGCTGTGACCTGAAAGCAGCTGGATTTCAAAGGATTTGCTCTTCCCGGTGAGAAGAAGAGGAGGAAACAGTTTTTATTACTTCCAGAAGCCAGGGTGAACTCAGAGATGGAAATCTTTTCCGTGCCTCCGGTCTGTGCAGGAGGGGTATCATTAAGTGATCAGACTGATGCCAGAATGTGTCCCTGGGCAGGCAGAAACATGTTTTCTGCAGGGCAGAGGTTGGGGGGAGAACTCACTGAGTCTTTGAGTGAGCTCAAAAACCCCTCTGGAGCAGGGAGCCCCAGCCCCAGGCAGGTCTCCAAGTGATGATGATAATTTCAAGTGCCATCTTTGGTATCAGGGTTTTACGTCCTCAGTAAATGACAAACAATTCAAATGTCAAGAATGCCTTATCACTGGGATGGTTGGTTTTTTTTTTTTTTTTTTTTTGCCTTGTCTCCTGGAGTTTTATCAATCCAATGATCCAAGTTGTCTGAATCAATCGTGAGAATTTGGAGGTAATTTGTTCCAAAGAGACAAGGATCAGTGCGTTCACTTGGCTCCTTGTTAGCTGGAAAGGGTGGGGGAAATAAAATGAGCATGTAGCTTAATAGGAAATCAAAACTGGTCTGTGAATGTGTGTCTGGACTGGCTTATTCATGACTGTGATACACTTGTAAAATATGCTGGTGGTGCTACACAGTCGAAAACACAGCTTGCCAATGCTGTCAAATTACTATTTATTTCCTCTTAATTCCACTGGGTGTGACATTTATACATCCAAATGTCCAAATACATCTATCATTTGGTTGGAGGTTTTGTTAGCCCTACTACAGCTCTGAAAGGTTATTTAAGTTTTTGCATGTGGGAATGACCAGCTGTGGAGGTTTTAGAATTGAAAAGGGTATTTCTATATTTTGACCTGACTTGACTTTTTCTCTTTAAAACAAGTCTTCTGTGTTTTAAAACAAGCCCCCACCTTTTTTTTTTTTCCCCCTGGAATAAACGAAGCCATATATAATTTTACCTTTTCAAAACCTCCTGGTCTTCCTTTGGGGGAAAATACAGTATTTTAACCCTTGAGTTTGCCAAAGGTAAGTGTTGGTATGGGGTGTGAGTGATGTGATAGGCTCCTCTGACTATGTACATGGGTGATGCATTAGATTTTGTGTTTGCGTTATTTTGAAAAAGAGATGATCTAGGTTAATTGGGCCTGCACAAACTGGAGGGCTGTTCCTCAGCTGAACCAGCCTGCACAAATTTTCACTGAAATGTTGTGGCAGCTGGGCATGGGCACTGCCTGCTTCCCACTCAGCTGGGCTGGAGGGAAAACCTCTTTTCCTGTGGCACAGCTTCCAAAGAGCCATTTCAAACAACATAAATGATGATGATGATGATGAGATGCTCTCATAGAAAGTTCTGAATGTGACAGACCAGCAAGGAACTTCCCCACTCCTTAATTAAGTAATCATCTCCCCTCCTGATGTCCCAGGAGCTGGCAGCAGCAGCTGTTTCCCTGGAATTGAGGCAAAACCTCTGGACATGGATGATATCCTGACTGACTGAAAAACACAGGTTTTTCAGTGCCTTTGGCCACACGAGCCCTTCAGGTTTGAAATGGAGTAAAAAAATTTACCACAGAGCACAGGTTAGCTGTGGGACACTGGTCATGTTGCACCCAGGAAAGGTTTTCCCCAGTTTTTAGATCCTGCAGAATGACTATTCCTCCACACCTTTTGCCTTATGGTCTAGAGGTGTCATAAAAAAAGAGGTGCTATTTATAAAAGAGCCAGGTAAACAACTCAGGCCTCATGCTCAAAACCTGCTTTTCAGTGTGGATCTCCCATGCCTGGCATGCTGATTACACTGCAGTACAGGAGCTAAGGGAAAACTGCTTCTCCAGGCAGCCAAGTGCCATCAAACACATGTGGAGCCTTGTGATGGATGCTGGGAGCACTCCCCAAACGTGTCTGGAGTGAGTAAAAAACCAGAGAAAAGGGAGGGAAAAGAAACCTGGCTGGAAAACTTTTCTTTGCTGGGAATGTTTGGACTGGATAATGCAAAGTTGCTGCCTGAGGATGGGAAGCAGGTTTACATCACACTTTCCTGGCTTCTGGTGGGTTTCACCACGTTCAGCATTTTAAATCATTAGGAAGATGTTGGTTTTGCTTCCTTTTCTCTAGAGGATGATTATCAAAGGGAGAAGGGGGGGGGAGGAATCAACCATGATGAGCCTTCCTAGGCATCAGAGAGTGAGTGGGCTCTGCCCCAGATGCCAGTGGGACAGAAGTGGGGACAAACTGGAATAATAACAGCCTCAGAGCACTCACAGAGCACTTACTCCCTCCATCACAGTGCAGCTTCACCTCTTGGTGACACTGTGTTTCCACTGCTCACTGCTGTGGTTGTGGAGGTAGAAAGGGCATTCACAGAACAAGGACATTGTTCCAAGAACAGGAAATCTTCCTGTCATCCTTGGACTCCACTTTGTCTTTCCTCCTCCACCAGCCACGTCTGCCCAGCTGCTTATCAGTCCCTCCAGAACATCAGACCTTCACTGTGATCCCATCTCTTACTCATGCTTTACTCATTTCCCAACATGGCAATTACTGCTGTTCCATTCGGCCTTCCTAAATCCCTGCTTTGAATCTGAGGCCACTTAAAGTGCAGATGTGGATGGAAATTAATACAACATCAATCCATACCAAGTACATGCAAAGGTATAAAATACTCTGTGTGTTCCAGGAGCAGCATGTTGTGTTTCAGATATTTGGGCATCAGCAACATCCATGATGCTGTTTAGGAAAAAAGGATGAAGTATCAATGTGGAAATAATTTTCCACAGTAGCATGCACAACTAGAGCTTCAGTCACATTTAATCACTGTTCCTTTTGCACAGGGAAAGGTGTACAGAACCTGCTGTGGGTGCAAACTCTTCTGCATGACAAAAAGAAAGCCAAGAAAGCAAAATGGTTTTAGGATTCTAACCTGGGAAACTAATATTTACTCTGTATCTTGCTAAAGACATATCAATCTCTTCAAAGCTAAAAACTTGAAAACCAAAGACCTAGTCCTGAGGGAAACACCTGCCTGAAGCAGCAATTTCAGAACTGCAGTTTATCAGTTTAAAGATCTTGTTACCAGACAGTTTTGTTGAGCAGCCATGCAGCTAGCACCTAATGAACAGCCTGAAAATGTCATTTATGGGGAAAATTAAAAAAAAAAAAAAAAATCCAACTGAGAAGTATCCATCACCCACATTTAGGCCAAAAGGATGAGCTGCCATATAACAAATAGAGTTTGAACAACAAATAAGCAACAAATATTGTTTGAATAACAATAACTCAGCCAGGAAGAGGCCTGTCTGAGCTTCTTGGATAATAAAACCTTAACAGAGAAGGTTTCTGCAACAAAGTTCCTCCATATTAATAATTTCAGACACAGAACAAAAAATTTCATTGGGTTCTTTCACTGGTATTCCTACCTGCAGCTAAACCCCAGGGATTATTAAGAATTTCATCTGGTAATTAGAACATCTTGGATGACTAGGAAATGTGTGAATATCATAAAAATGCCATTATTTATTAAAAGCAGTAATAACTGAAATATAAGTACTCAACATTAAAAGTTACCAGATGATTCTCTGCATATTTTGAACAGTCAAAATCCAAGACTTTTTAGGAATCTCCCTCCCCCCCGGTGAGGAACAGCTCCTTGGACACCCAAACCTGAGTTGCTTTGGTGCCTTGTTTGGAGCAGCATCCACATTTAAAGTTACAGGGCAGATTTTGCACTCCCCACATCCCCTGCCCAGTCCCAGGCTTCTGTGTGCACAGCCTGGTTACAGTCCTACAGCTCTGCACTGCCAGGGGTATTTATTTGGCCCAAACTGGAGAAATCTATCTTTCCTGAGCCCAGAATAGAAAAGTTTGGATGGCTACTTTGATGGTGATTTAGATTCGCAGGTATATGTCAGACAACACAAAGGTCATAACTCAAAATCACTTTTTTTTCCTAGTTGCAGGATAATTTGGATTGATGAAAATAAGGTTTTCAAACAAGAATGACAACAGTTAACATACCTTTAAGTGTGTTTTACTTTTTAGCTTTGTTCCTTCTGATCACAAGCCTTTCCAGAACAACAAATACTGCAAACACACAACTCTCCCAAATTCAACCAGTATGAAGTCACACAGGTGTCTGATATAACACACACCTGTCAGGCATTATGGAAGAAGTCACTAGATCACTGAAAGTGTGCAAAACTAAGAATCAAGTGCTAATGGGAGGTATCATTAAAAGTAATCTAATCTTTACTACTGGTGAGCGTAATTTAGTTGCTTCAACCTTTATACTATGACATGCAACTTCCTTATCTGCAGCTGACTGTTCATTCTGGTAATTGATAAATCTTTCCATGCATGCAACGGCAGCAGCAGGGCCTTTTCAATCCTTTTCTCAACATTCTGGAACTCTAAAAATGAGTACATGTGGTTTTTTACAGAGAACAATCCAGGTGTCTCAGATCCCCCATCTCTGCCTTCTCAGTAGCTAAAATCAAACATCACTACAATTATGGTCCCTGCCTTTATTTCACATCTTAACAACAGAAATATTGAGAGTTTATTTGAGAAATTACAAGTTTAGAAACAAATAGCTGAGTATAACTTAGGTCAGAGGTCATAGTTTTAGGATAAGAGTGGAGACATCACTTACAAATCAAGAGGAATTGTTTAGGCAGCAAGAACTAAAAATACTTTGATAAACATCCCCTAGAGTCAAAACACTCTTTATTCTTCAAAGGGTGGTCTTATTGCTGTGGCTGATTTACCATTTCAGTGTTTCATTCAACAGGTCTACTGGACAAGAAATTTTAAAGAATCAGAAACAGCAAGCCTTTTCAACTGCATGGTGTTTAAGAAGAAACAAACAAAAAGAGCTCCCCCGAAGCTCAGGCACACACCAGACACCCCTCCATGAGTTAGAGCAGGAGTGTCAGTGCTGACCTGGCTGAACAAGCACATCTCATCTGGGTTATGATCACTAAAGCTGGTCCATCTGCAGGGGTGCCCACCAGGAGAGAGGTTATCCATCATGTGAGAGGAGACTTGCTGAGGCTTCCCATCCTTTCTTGACACAGGATCTGCTGTTGGGTACCTGGGGACACTCGCCAGCTGCTACTGCATGAACAGGATGCTGAAGGCCATCACCACACAGCACACGGCCACGTAGGGGCTCTTCCTCTCACCTGCCAGGAGGGAAAGAGAACCCAGAACAAACAGAAATTCAGGTGTGGTTAAGCAGGTTAAACAGACACACCTGCTCCTAGCCCAGTGTAAATCTGCCACAGCACGTGCAAACTGGTGTTCAACATTTCTAGCTGGGGAAAAGGCAGGCAGGAAAGTACAGCTGTGTATTCACAGGATGTAGGACAGGTTGTTTTCATACATAAAAACAGAGCTGGGGCTCTTTGCTTTGAGAGAGGGACTTGTAAACATGGCAGGGAGTGACAGGATTATGGGGAATGGCCTCAGGCTGAAGGAAGGCAGGGCTGGCTGGGATCTTGGCAATGAGGAATTGTTCCCTGGCAGGGTGGGCAGGCCCTGGCACAGGGTGCCCAGAGCAGCTGGGGCTGCCCCTGCATCCCTGGCACTGCCCAAGGCCAGGCTGGACCCTGGGACACTGCGAGGTGTCCCTGACATGGCAGGGGTGGCACTGGCTGATTCTGGCCCATGTAAGGGCTTCCATCTCACTACAAACCCCCTTTTCTGAGGTGCAGTTTTGTGTTGCTGCTACCTCCTCGTGCCAAAGTCAGGGGGCAGGCAGTGGAAAGTTGCCCAGGACACCCCATTTTTGCTGGTTCTGCTGCTGTGTGTCAGCTGAGGTGCAGCTGGTCCTGGTACCTGCCACCTGCAGTGTGAATCTTCTGTGCAGGGTGTCATGCAGCAGCCAGAGCTGTGAGCTCACAGCTGCCCAGACAGAGCCAGATGCCTTTTTTTGCTTTTTTAAGAAGACATAACGTTGTTAGCACGTGGAGAGGGTCTGGTCCACAGATTTCCATGATAAAAATGGTCAGCAGATCACAGAAGCTGCACAGACACCTCTATTTTCTGACTCTTTCAAATTGGTGTCAGAGTTTCCCAGGGCAAACTATGGAAGAAAGTTAAGTTTACTCAATTAATAGACTTTTATCTGGTGGCAAAAGCAATCGTGAGAGATCTATTCCCACCCATTTGGTCCAGGACAGAACTTTACAGAGGTCTGTTTGTCTTGTTCTTCAAGAAAAAAAATATTCTCAGGTGGGAAACTGTAACACAACCAGGGGAACATCAGTAATGTTAATCAGACTGGTACCTACTTACATGAGCACTTTCTCCATTAATTAGCAAGATGTTTTTACACTCAAACTTTATTCTTCGTGGTTCCACCGAATTATGCTGGGAGAGACCTCCAGCCTACAGAACAGCCAGGGAGTGTTAACACTGAAATGTGTCTCTAAAGTGAGAAGATCCCTGTTTTTACACACACAGGACTATAAAGACAGAGCTGGGGCTGTTTGCTTTAAGCAAAGTTCAATTTCCCTTTGCTGTGTGAGGTCTTTTGTCTTTACAAACCACCTTATCAGAGACACAGTTTTCAGAGAAACATTAAAGAAAAAACACCACCAAGGCTCCCAAGTTTAGCATGGTGCAATTTTTATGAAAAAAAGTATTTTCTTTTACCAGCACAGGGAAGAAACTTTCCACAGTAAAAGAAAAATAAAATACTCGCAGTGACACCTCCCATACACTGCCCAGTGACATTACAAGATTCTGTCATGATCTGGCATATATTTAATTAAACTTCAAATAACTGAACGAATTAATGTCTGCAGTTTCACATCTGTTTAAAATAAATTTTGAGGAAGTCCAACTCCTACGGTTCAGGGTATTACAATTTTCATATGGGTTATGCTTTTCTGCTCTTAATTTTCTTAAAAGAGAAATCACCATGTGGCAAGATTAAACATTATTTTGCACAACTTTGTAAATATGTAACCACTTGCCGGTGATTAAGATCTTATGTACATGTGAAAAGGTTGTTTAAACATACCAGGGATGTGAAATGTAAAGGAAGCCAGCAGACATTTTCATTTTTAAAACCTACACCCTCTACTTGCCTTTGTGACTAACACACATAAAATGACAGGAATCATCTCCAAAGCCCATTTCCACTTCTTAGCCTAAAAGAAAGTCAAAGTAGTCCACTCTAGATGCAAATTGCAAAAGAAACAGCTAATTGAAAAAAATATCTTTGCACTTAATTAACTACAAAGAAGATGGCAAGGTGAGGTGGGGTGCTCTCTTCAGCTTTAAACAAACCCTAATGCTGCTGAATTTTTGACATTTGCTTTCCCTGGTATAGCTCAAAATTCATTTCTGACAGCTGCCACCTTCCCAGTATCTTTCAATTACAGCACTAAAATTGGTTCTGCAATGTCTCTTATCTAAATAGGACAATATCTGCAATCATTTCAACAATTGCTCTTCACCAAACCCCAATTTTTTGTGTCAATGCTTTTTTTGACATCCTGTAAAATGTTCTGCCTGGGTATGTAGAAAGGGAATCGTAAAGGCTTTCTTTAGGTTCAGTGACAAGTAGGAAGATCTAGAATTACAAGTTCAAAGCTTCTGCTCTGCATTAACAATGCAATTTGAACACTGATGATGGGTTAGTAGTTTTTTTTTTTTCCCCTAAATCGTGGATATACCTTAATGTTAAGACTAAACCTCTGTTGCATATTCCAATTTCCTTCTCAAAATAAATTCAGGATAAGGATTAAAATAAATATAAAACCAATGTTATGGGAAAATGTCAAGAATCAGATAGAGCTGATCAGCCTGTGTGCAGATGTCACTTGACACGAACAGCTTTGTGTAATTCAAAAGTGCACAGAAGCTGAGCAAAGAAGGGAAAGGGAAAAAAAACACATTTATGCTTAAACAGAACCTTAATGCATTATGAACTCCACGTTGTTTTATTACTGTAAGGTAAATATCTGGGTTTTTTTTAAACAGTCCATTGCAATTTCAAACAGACTGCAGTTTATAAGAAATCATTGATTTCTTTGCGTGTTATAAATGCACCCTCGGTTGTTTCACGTGGCAAGAAGTGAAAAAAAACTTTTGAAAATGTAACACTAGATACATGAACTGACATGAGAAGATGCAGGATTTCCATGATGCTAATCTAAGAAAGCAATATCCTGCCCCTTTATTTCATGGAGGCTGAAACCTGCATTTTTGAAGACAAAGGATGTGTATGGTTTTCATTGCTACATGGCAACATAATCCTAATAAATTATGGGAGAAATAGGACTGATCTTAAGGATTTTGAAGGGAAAAAACAACAAAAAGCAATTACCAATCCTGGCGCATTTCCAGAATATCCCCAACAGTCTGTAAAGATAAAAATAAATACATTAGGGTCTTGGTTTAATACATCCAAGTAAAATGATTTTATTTATGTTAAAATAATCTGAATTGACAGTAATTTGTCAACTTGATTCCCTCCTAAACACCAGAAAACAGCAGATAACCTGCACATAAGGGTACAGAGTATGAACTACAGAAGTGGCAAAGTTTTAAATCTAGCAGAGGTCTTTTTGCATGCAAAAATGCATTCAACTTGTTCTGTGTTCCAGATCTAAAGATTTCACCACAACCCCATATTTATCTACAGTACAGTATCCCAAACAGAAAGTTTTGTGAAGAAAAATATCTTCCCAATTCTTTTCGTTCCTATTCCTTTACCAACATTTACCTTGCTCATACCTCTCCTCCTGTGTTGCTTGCCCAGGACTTTACCTCTCACAAGTGTAACAGCAATGGAGAAAAGCAGAATTCAACCCAAAGGGATGTCCCAAACCCACAATTTCTCTGTGCAATTAAAATAATCTCCTACCAACAGCTCCAGAGGAGCAGGGACTGCTTTAGGATCTGAGGAAAAGAAGGGAAAGAACACTGAGGTGTCCTGATTTCAGCCCTTCAAAGCTTGTCTGCGGGAAGAATTCCTTCACACATGGCACAGAACACTGTGGGGAGCACTTGGAGAGCTGCCATCAAGCAGGCAGTAAACACAACCCCACAAATAATGTTCTGAACTCATACCCACAAGGTTTGATTGTTTGTCTTTGCCCTTTTTTGGGCTCTGAGAGTTCCTTACTTCTAACACATTTAAAGTAGACAGGTAGGCTTGGGCCACTTGCTCCTGCATGCTCGAGCAGTCAACATATCTTTTATTTCTCTGCTACTTCTATTTTATGTCCTCTTTTATGGTCTTGCTTCACTTCATCATCTCTCTGTCCATTTAGCAGCCTCCTCTATTTCTGAGTCAAAGATTCAGTGCTGGGCAGGTGAAGGGTGGCAGCAAGTGACCGAGGTGCTCAAGCTCAAAGTGAAATGCTTTTTGACTTATGTACCCCTTGCTGACCAGCTCACCATGAACAGCATTCCATTTCCATTTTCAGAAAGCAGGCATTTTCATCTGTGCTTTAGATTTTAGTTTTACCTCAAGCAAAACGTATACACACACACACATATATTTGGGTTTGACTGTATTTCTGTACAGCCAAAGCTCTTTTTTTCCTGCTTTTATGCAGCTCCACAAGCAGAAGTAATGATCCCTGCATATAGAGCACCACACTTTTCCAGGCTGAGAGGTCATACAATAAAGTAACCTGAACACACTCATGCACTTTTTGAAGATGTGTGCAGGTAGGAAGGCATTCATGTGTAAATCTGAAGTGCTCCACTGACAGCACCTCAGGTTCTCAAAACTGTTGTTCGCTCTCTGTAAAATTACAATTTACAGATTGCATTCTGCAAAACCAACAGGAAAACTTCCACGGCCCTGCTTCTCATATTGCCATCTCTCAAAAGCTTGCCCAGGAGCTCAAAGAAATAAAACACTACTATTCTGTTCATATACTTTTGAAGAATCTTGCATGGGAAAAAGAATATTAACCCTTTCAGGCAGCCTGGAAGTCTGTTGAATTTGCCTCACCATCTCAGCAAGGATATTTTTCCATCTTGTCAGGGATTTCTTGACTAATGTGAAGCCACTACTGCACATTTCCTTACAGAAATTCCCTTGGTGGAATTTTCCTACCTGATGTGCCAGGTACAAAACCAGCTGCCTTTAACAACTGCAATTAACAATTTATGAGCCTGAAGTCACTGGCATGAGGACTGACCAGCCTTCCCATGATGACACCAGGACATCAAAAGAGGCTTTTGTGCTACTGGAACAGCTCATCACCTCTGTTTGTCCACACAAGCTGCTGCTGAGCATTCTGGACCTTCTGATAATGTACCCTCTGGAAGAACTGGGGAGCTCCCACTGCAGGAAAAGCCTGTGCAAAACTCCTGCTCCTATGGTTTTCCCATTAGTGCTCATCCCAGGTCCACAAGAACCTCTTCAAATCAAAACCTGCTTATTACAGAAGTGATGCTGCCTTGAATAACTGTGCTCCAAAACAGTTCCTCCTGCAGCAGCTCCTCGGTGTAACTGCACTACTCCTTCTCCACCCTTCGTGTACTGCTCCATCCTTGTTTGGATGCAGGTGAAGGTGTGGGTCTGGCTGGGATCCCTGCTCTTTCTGGCACCCACAGCCCAAAAGTGCACGTCCTGCTGCAGATTCCTGGCTCTTGGTGCTAAAATGCTAAAAGCACTCATTGTGAAAAGTGGATGTGGTTACCTGGAGGACAAAAGAAAAACCCAAATAAATGGAACCTCTTAGGCTGAGAAGGAGGTGGTGGAGCCTAAGACAACGACTGCTAAGGCTGGGTGTGCTGCAAAATGCCATGTGTTCACCAGGAGAAGCCCAGTGCCACTGCAGGAGGGAGTGTGAGACATCCCCACTGCAATGCTGATGGAAAATCAAAGGGGATCTCTGCTGCACATGAGCTAACACATCCTTCTGGTTAGCAGGGAGGAGAGAATTACATTGTGGTGCACATTCTCCTCTAGTTAGCATGAAACAGTAAATCTCCACTTGCTTTCCCAGCCTTTAACACTGTTGCTCAGGACGGAGCACATGGAAACATTCAGGGAAAATGAGGTTTAAGGTTCTGTTTGGCTCGGTAAGAAAAGACACCCTTTGGCAGAAATGAGGGGGAGGAAATGCAGGGTTATGAGGATGGGTGACATCACTGTGCAACAGCATCTCTCAACTGACAGAAATTATGTTTCTTCACTTATTATCAACAGACCTAAATCCTCAGCAAAGTTACCACTCACCTAGAAATACAGTGAATAACTATCAACATTCCTCCTTTCTGTCACTTTAGTATTTTATTGCTACTTTTTTATGCCTTTTATTTTGAGCAGGAATGATGAGGTAAGAGCATCTCTGTGGCAAACTGAAATATCACTAGAATTTGTTTTATCCCACATGTCCAGACATTTCCACTGGAGCATGGACTGTGTTAGAAGAGAGGGAAAGGGGTTTAGCACCATATGAGCTCCATGTAAAAATCTACCATACAGGAAACAATTTTCATTGCTTCCAGGCCAAGGTTTTATTCTCCAGTACAAAGTAGTCTACAAATATATATATATATATATATATAAAACAAAATGGCATGTCCTACATCTACATAAATACAAACCTACACATCAAACGCCCAACTCCTCCACAGTGTCAGCACCCCTTGGAAACATTTTATGAAGAGAGTTCTATTGTACTCCAGACAGATTTGCCTCAAGAATAAACAGAGTAGCTCCAGATTAAAGGAAACACTCCTTGCCAAGAACAGCACTAAAATTTTAATCAGTAAAATAAACATTCTTACTTCTTACTGTGTATACCTCATTGACTATTGTGTTATCTTCCACCAGCAGACACCCAAACTCCCCTCGTCCCCCCGCTCCCTGTCCTTCATGAAGTCATCCTTTCTTCCATCTTCACTTCCATCCAAAGAAACCTCTCCTGTCAGTGACAATTTTGTGGCCTCATATAAAAGGACACAAGTGTTTTCATGTTAGAACTCCAAATTAGGAAAAAAAAAGCTGGTGTAATTTGGGTATCTTACACTGTTGAAATTTAAAAAAAACATGGATAATAAAACAGCAACCCCAGAGATTAATTACAACGAAGGTTTTCAGAAGGCAAACACTCAGGTGTTTGGTGTTCTTGGTCACAACACTATTTAAAACTGGACACTTCTGAATTTAAATGCCAAAGTGATGGAAGACACTTAGGGAAGAAGAACATTTTATTTAACAGGAAATGACCTAATGGCAAAAGTGGAGAAGTCAAACACTCATTATCCAAAAGCTTGTCTGTTTTTCCACCTAGAATTACCTCCTGCTTCTACAAACATCATCTCCTTTGCACTAACCCGAGGTGACAGCATTACTGAAGTTCTGTGGGCAGCCCCACACATTTCTGTGTCACAACTGCCCAATGGTTACTTGAAACCCACCACACTTAAATCACAGTTCTGCTGATCACAGCATCCATATGATTAAAAAACATAAAGTTAAGATTTCTAGAAGCTTTCAAAAACTCTTCTAGAAATCCCCTCACCTTAGAGAATATAAAACCATGATTTGAACAGACCACACAAGAGGACTTTGTTGCTTATTTTAAAAAATAGTTTTAGTTTTCTTTCAGTTACAGATTATTGCTAGAGCTGTATTTCAAACTTCTATCTGCAAAACACCTATCTTGCAAACAAGCAAAAAACCAGTTTCTGCTGGTTTCTTACCCACCCTAGGAATCAAAAATAAATCATTACAACAATAGCCACATGTAGGAGAATGTTTTATTTCTGTCTCTCATTTCTGTATCTCTAATAAGCATCTAACAACAAAGCTACAAATCTAGAAGATTAATAATGCAGTGTTAGCAAGGTTAGCAAGCTAATAAAATCTTTCAATAAAATTGCAACTAAGCGCTTGCCAATACCTTATTGCACTCTGTTGTGAGGCACAAAGTTAAGATTTTTATCTTTAAAGAGAGAAAAATTTCAAAGCAGGATCTGCATTATCACAGACTTCATCAGGAGATGCTGAAAGGCTGCAGTTGAACCCACACAGCTTGTGGATGTTAGAAATGATCAGGCCACGTACCCGGATTTATTTTTGTCCAGTAAGCTGGGAGCCAAGGATCTGATGTAGGCACAGGTACATATGAGCAGCAGGATCACAGTCAGCAGACTCTGGAAGTTGAAGATGGCAGACTATGGAAGAAAATCGGGGGGAAAAAAAAAATAAATTACATCTCTGCAGTGCAGAACTCCTCTTGAAGTGGAAGTTCTGGAAAAAATGGGTGACCCCTTAGACAACACCAAAAATAAAACCTGCAATGAGCCAGAAAACCTTTCCATCAATGGAATATGGTGGTGGTAGTGAAAGTAGAATGAAGACTGACTGGCAAGGAAACCAGCAGTAGCCAAGACAAAACGTAACACAAAATGTGCAGTAGGTTTGTTAATATACCACTTTTTAAAAGCTACAGGCCAAATTTAACAGATCTGTAGGAAGTTAAGCCCACCTGAACTATGATAACTGATTACTTTTATTTTCAAATAACGTTCTGATTGCAAATTGAAAACATCTTTATTGTAAATACACTTTCAGAACTGCTAGTTCTTTGGTAAATTCTGAAGAAATTGATGAAATTGCCTTAAGAAAGTTCTGTTCTTGACAGCAAATACTGATCAGCCTAGTGGCAGTGAGAAGAGACAATTCTTGAGAAACTGCTGCAATATCTGGCAATTTACTGAAGCGTGAAATAACACTAATAAGCAGAAACTGCAACCCATAAACCTTTTTTTTAACCTTTTATTCTTTTTTTTATGGTTTTGGGGTTTTTCTTGAAGTGTCTCAACTGACATTGTGGTCAGTGCAACAGCACCAGGTGGTGTAAGAGGCAACTGCTTATTTCAAAAAGCTTTATTTTACTTTCACTCTGCCACGCTCATTTGCAAATCTGATTTAGTGTGAGCTCCAAAAAAAAAAAAAAACCAAAACCATAAAATGTCAAGGCAAATGCAAGAAATTCACTCTTTGTTCTGGAATTCTGATGAACTCCTGTCTCCTGTGCTCGTACTGCTCAACCCAGCTGGCTGAGTAGTGGTATTTAATTAAAGGTAAATATTTAGCACTTAGGAAGGGATAATACATTGGCATTTCCTTCTGCAGGCATATTTTAGGGCACATCAGAGCCTTCATTTCCACGCAGCCTGAGGCACATCTCCGTCGGTGTGCATGTGCTGTCTTCCTATGTCACAAAATTAGAATGTTTTGAATCTCTGATGATCAAATCTATCTAGCTAATGAGAATTATAAATAAAAAACCACACTATTCTAGTTCAGTGGAAAATAGGAGAGAAAAATGACAAGTTCTAGTAGAAGGAAAGCCACTGGAACACATGCAAGTGTTCCAATACTGAGATCAAAACCTGGTGACCAAAACCCACCAAAATCAACAGCAAAACAGAACAAAGTACTTTATCTTATTTAGAAGTCTCCATGGATCATATGGACTCCAGAACATGGACAGAGCTCCAGTCTGAACACATGCTTTAGGCAGGGTTAGCTATCTAAAGTGGTTTCAGTATTTCACTTAATGGGGTCCAACAGGCCACTCTGTCAAGAAGCATCATCAGAGGTGCTCTGACTCTGCACCCTGTATAGCAGGGATTTCAGCATCCCTGAAACCCACCCTTTCTGTGATGAGGGAACAGTGATCCCACATCCAAAGCCAGCCCTTCTGTCCCAGCCACGAGGCTGCTTGGTTTCCTCGCACACCACAGCCTTTCCTAAATCATATTTAATTTAGCATTTTAGCCCAACCAGCCACCCCTTCTGCCCCGTCATGTCATAAATAAATGGACAGGCTCTTCACAAAGGACAACACGCTGCCACCCCCAGCCTTTGTGCTCAGCAGAAGTTCCTGCCAGCTCCAGAAACCAGGCAAGTCTCAATTCCCCCTGGCTCCTGCGGGTCTAGGAACGCGGCGGGGCCGGATCCAGGAGCGGCTGCTCTCAGCACAGCCAGATACTGCCTATCAACTGATTAACCCGATCAGTCCTGCGGGACAGACAGACAGCTGCTCTGACAGCTCACGGCCCTGCGTTCCCATGGATTCCTGCAGCTGCTTCCTGAGGCGGCACCGGGCACTCCGGCACTGCAAAATGGCAGCAGGGCACACTTGCTTCCTCTCAAGCAGGGGCTGTAAATGTATACTCATGAAATGTGCTATCAGCCAGCCAACTGGGGCAGTATATAATCGTATATAATTGTTCTTTGTTGGAGTCTTCACGTGTTTCCCCAGATATTTGTGGCTGTAATCCCATCTGCCCTTCCACGGAAACGCGCTCTGAATGACACGTTTATCTGCACAGCCGCTTTCAAGGGGCAGATGTGAGCGTTCCAAAATTTGCCTACAATTTCTGGAAATGAGAATTTATCCCTGAATTAGATGGCTTCACTCTTCACATCTGAAGTAATTCTCATGGCCCAGCTGAATTCACAGAGAGCAGCAACCTACATCTGGCTGCTCCAACTGATGTAATTAAAAGCTGCTGCAAGAATTATACATTGCTCAGAATCCTTTAAAAAAACTGCATTCACATAGCAAGCTACTTGGACAACGTAGATGTGTTGCTGTTCGTTTGTTTAGACTGGGTTGCTCCGATGAAAATGTATTAATTTCAATTTTTTGACTTGTGTTGACTAGCTTAGATCCTGTGAGCCTCACTCCCACTACAAAGGGATCTCAGCACATGGGGAAACTGGTGCTGTCTCTTAGGCTGTGTCCCCATGAGGGGGAAATGACAACCGACTTCATGAGACCTATGCTGCAATGCCAAAAAGAACCAGCACTGGCATTTTATTCTGGTTTTAGACACTGCAAGCTTTAATTCCACAGGCTGAAATTTTCTACATCTGCATTTCTGACATAGTGGGAACACCTCAGCTGCTCCATTCTGTCTCATTCCCCCTGTGTCCCCTCCTGTGTGGAGCATCACATCACCTGCAGCATCAATGAGGTATTGAAGTCACCTGAACTTGAACAAGACAAGTTTTTTCCAATGTCTTTGGAAATTTAAGGCTATGGACTTGAGCTTTGAGAGCTACATGCCCAAAGCCTGTTTTAAATCCTTCCCAAAACCAGGCCTTTAAAAAGAGCCTCAATATTATTTCCTGATCATAACGTATCTCAGTAAAAACTCCACGTAATAAACCATAAAGAATTAGTACTCCTGCAAGTTTAATGTGTTGGGATTAACAGCAGTGGCTTGTATTAAGATAAATACTCAGGGGAATATACAGTAGTTGGAAATCAAATGGTACAGCTAGAGTTGTCTGAATGTACTCCCATCTGAGTATAAACTGAAGTTTAATGTACTTTAGTAAGTGTTGATTGAAAGCTAGAAGTTAACTCTGTGGCTGTGACAGGGAATCATGACAACAACTGCACAGCTCCTGCAAACCTCATCACAGACAATGCTGTCCCTCAGCATTAAATTTACTAAACTTGGGCAGAAGAAGAGGAAAAAAATCAGCACCTCAGAGTTGTGGTTACCAACAGGTCTGGCACTTTGCTGGAGTATTTAACTCAATATGCAGAAATAACCATAAGGAATGCATTGATTCTAAGCCCTTTCCTGCACTGACAACACCCATAGACAAGACACTGTAACTTATCCATCTCTGCAGTTTTCACTCACTCCATCTCACCCCAATATTCTCTGCTTCAGACACGGTTTTGTTCCCTGTCCTTGCAGGCAGCAGCACACTCACAAACCACCTGGGTTCCTGATGCAAGCCCTGGGTAGCACAGCAGTGAATCACACCCTAAGGTTTTGATGGAACTGTCAGTGTCACCAAGGACCCGCTGATTCTCCCCTTGCCCCACAGACTTTTGTTTAAAATTAAACCACCCGATATCATGGTTCCAGGGAAAATGAAACGTGCGGGAGGAGAACACAAACCCCACGCTTTTGTCCTTTTGGGTTGGTAGAAAGCCTAACACAAAAGCTCTCTGAGTTTATCCCAGCAGACTTAGCACTGAAACCAAAGCTTAACCTTCCCTAGACTTAAAAAGTATTTACAAAATGATTATTTTATCTCTGATTGCAGCGTGACCATGATGATTTCATCCATCTGTGCTATAAAAGCAGAGGCCATTGTAGTGCCAGCAAGTTGCAAAACTTTGCCCTGTGGTTACTATTATAAAACCAATTTATGTAGGCAAACACAGATAAATAACTGGAATATTTTAAAGAAAGTATAATCTCTGTGTAATACGCTTCAGAATATTCAGTCTTTCTGGAGTGGCTTTATTTTTTTTCCTCCCCAGTATAATAGAATTGATGAATAATTATGTTTTCTGTAATCAAATATGGATAACCAATCATTCAGCTGCCTTTCTCATACTGGAATGCGAGCAAGAGCATACATACTGCAGTTAAACTTTAGTTAAGCAAGGGGTGATAAAAATTTAATCACAGAAAAGTTAAATCAAGCTATGAAATTTTAACGAAGAGGTCCTTACAAAGCTGAAAGAGAAAATGCTTATTATCTAGAATTTCCATTAGGCCCTGCAATTCTTATTTCATCAGTAAAATCAAATTTTTCAGAATATTGAGAAAAATAATAGGATATAAATCATGTAGTACTACTCCCAACCTGAAAGCCACAGCAACTGCTAAAAAGTAATTAAAACACGCATCTAACTGTATTATTTTCCAATCTATTAAAAAATAGTTACCTATCCCACTGCTGCCAAATGCAATCTGATCAAAACAAATGGAAAACAAGCATTTGTAAAAGAGGCATGCTAATTAGCATCATAAAAAAATTACAAAAAGTGCAAATTAGTGAAGTTTGAAGCAATTATTGCCAAAAGTACACAACAAAACTAAGGAAAGGGTGTTGGTAAGTATCCAAATACCAGCCAGATGCAGTTGTTCCAGCACAAATATGGCTTTTTACCTTGGATTTACAGCATGTTCTCCTCAGTATTTCATTTCCAAAGAATTTAAGTACTATATTTAATGTTCATTCAGATTTCTGTCTGAAAGATGTATTTTTGCACTCATGGAATGCAAGCTAAGGCTTGATTAGAGAAATAGGGAATTTTTTCCCAGTCATTTTCTGGAGAAGCACATTGTCAAGTTTAAATGGCAAGTGCAACTAACATGTATGCTTTCCAGACAACTGAAGACTA